TGGGCAGCTCGAGCATGTTCGACAAGCAGGAGTTTCACACATTTTATTCTTCACAGAACTTTTGATGGTTTCCTCAAAACTCAGACTGGAGGTTTCATGCCTGGTTGTTTCCATTTTGCTCAAAAAAACTATCCTCAGAAACTCAGATTATAAGGAAAGAAAATTTACTTTCACATGTGTTACTCCATCAGTAATTTTACAGGAAATGTTTTTGTCTCCTGAGCAGAATTTTCTAGAGACAGAGGATCAAGGCATTAAATGAGAAACTCTTCCAGCACAACCAGGGCACCAGGATTAACATCAGGGCAGTTGTTGTCTCCCTTCTGCCACTATTGAATCAAATGCCAGAGCAGAGAAGATCTGATTAGCAGGAGAGGATTGTGTGGACACTTAGTGCCATGCCCATACTCAGACTATCGGAAAGCAAGGATCCAAACACAGGAATTTGGGGGAAATGAGTGTGCCTGGACATGCCACCCTCTATGAAATGTTACCCAGTGCTCTCCATCAGCTCAGCCAGTCCAAAGCTGGCTTCCCAAAACACCCTTCCCCATCAGCTCTGCTTCCCTGCGTTCAGGAAAGTCCTGCCAGCTCGGCTGGGGAGTGCCCATCCCCAACTCAAGACCAAGCCTAGGCTCCCAGGAAAGACGCTCCACGGCCCCATGCTTCCTACCCCTGCCCCGTGCAGCACCGACACAGGGAGAAGAAAAAGGGAACTAGGCAGATTTTATTCTCTGATCGAAGCATTCTGGTGTCCTAAAGGCATACTTCCAGCAGTTTATCATTTTGACCTTTCCAGGAAAGTAAATCTCCACAGAGAGGCTGAAGGGGATGGCCAGCCTGGAAGAGACTTGGCCGTCACCTACCTGGTGAAGGTGTTGGTTCAGAGCGCACCAAGGCAGCAACCGGCTGCTACAGTCCGACCCAAGAGGAGGCACTTGCACCCAGAAGCGTTAGCACCAGGGAGCATCCCTTTGCCCCAAACACCCTGGTTTTATACCGCTGACAGTGGGTGGCACTTGTTTATTCCCACGGCCACGTCTCCCCTTGGCCAATCAGCAAGTGCCCCATTGGCGTGGGGGCGGTGGGGTTGTACCTCGTCCCTCCCTGCTGCGGGGGGAGAGGCTGAGGTGCCTCCTGGGGCTGTTGCAATCCTCACCGTTATCCTCATGCAACACGACTTGTGACACCCCGCGGCGCAGCGGCCACCCGGCTTGTGGTGCCTTGCTGAAAAATCTTAGGGATGGAGAAAGTAAGCGTTCGGTGTGAACACCAGCACCAGCCCAGTCCCAGAAGAAGAGAAGCCTTCTTTGTCTGTTCCCATCACAAGGAATTATCAACTAGTGTTTGATGTGAAGGAACACACCAAAGCTGGAAAATAATCCCACCTCTAGACACTGCAAGAATCCCTTGTTTAGGACCAGATGGCTGTGCACCTGACGTGGCAAAGGTGAAAAGCAGGACCTGTATCTCTAGTCACTCTTCAGATTAAATGAAAGGAACACCAGCGAGTATTTACGATCAGGAAAGAGGGTGATCCAGCGAAGCTGCATCTCCTCCTAAAGCCACCCAAGGTGAAGAAACGGAGGTTGGGTGCAGCCACCTCTTGTTTAGCCAAGGCATTCGATGCCGTTCCTGCAATGGGCACAAGTGGCAGTCCTTGGCGGGCAGGAGTTGTGCCATGCAGACATCTTGGCAACTGCCTCTCGGGCCATTTGGAAGAGGAATCTGCTCCCCACACCTCCACGGGGTTACCTGCTGGGGACGGTGGCAGTGGGGCCTGGCCTCTTGGCCTTTCCTCCTTGCGCGCCATTGAGATGTCAAGTGTCGGTGCCAAGAGAAGAAGCACAAAAGACGTGGAAGATGGCTCCTGCATGCTCAGCAGCAGCAGAGGGCCCACCTGACCAGAATTCTGCTCTGGGGTTTTGCTGGGAGACCTTCCTGAAGAGAAGTGGACAAAGTTCCATCTCGTCGTACAGCATCAGTCTGGAGCTGGTTTCCATCGAGCAGGGATGCAGTGTGTGTGTCTGCCCGTGTGTGTGTGTGTGTGTGTTTGTGTGTGGTATTGTGTGTGTGTGTGTGTGTGGTTTTGTGTGTATGTGTGTGTGTCCCCAAGAGGTGCCCAGCAAACCCCAGCACTGAACAGCCCTCATGCAAGGCGAGACGACGCAGGACCGTGGGCTGGATGCCTGGGGAGCCTTCTTAGAGGTGTCACAGGAGGAAAGCGATGCCTCCTTTTCTCTGGTGGGAGGAGAATCAGGAAAAGGGGCATTTGGGCTGAACTTTTTGATGCAGCAGCAACTCCAGCCTGTCCCCTGCACTCTCCTCCTCGTGATGCTCCAGGGAGCAGCAAGTAATATAGAAATGGATGAGGTGCATGGAAAAATGGAGGATTTCTCTGATACTACAGTGAAGCTGGCCAGTAGATGATGTGGCTTTCTTATAAATAAATTAAAAGAAGACAGAAGCCTAACCATTTGGTACAGCTATATATTTTTCCCCCAGTGAGATCATGAGGCATGCATCACTTTTCCTGGTTGCTGTGGCATCTTCCGAGGGGTCCCTTACCACCCATATCTTTGAGCGGAGTCTCCTGCTGCGGATTCTGCAGCTGAGACAAGAGCTGGGACCTTGTAACAGAGCTCTCGCCCTCCAGGGATGAGCTTTTGCCACCATCTCTGTACGTTCAGGCCCATGTCTTTCCCGGTCAGCAGCACTGGGCGCAGCATCTCACCCACAGAGGAGGGGGAAGAGGGAGGAAGGCAGCTCCTGCTTCCACCCTGGCAGTCATCCTTTGTGCCAGGATAGAGCCAGCAGGCGTGTTGGAGAGCCTCTCCCGCAGACTGCTGTAGCTCAGCAGTGACCAACCCATCCAAGTGCCATGAACATCACCCTGCTTTCCCCTGGAAATGTTCCCTTGGCTGTTGGGGAACAGGGACAATATGCAGCCCAGGGACACGGGGACAGTCGTGGGTTGTCATTGCAGCGCTGCCCAGCCTGGGAGATGTTGCTGGGGCTGCAGCCACCCAGCGTCCTCCAAGGCCTCCCCCAACACTGCTGGCAGCCCATGTGCCACCTGCAGAGAGGGCAGAAGCCCCTCCTGGGCTCCGGCCAGCCCCGTGCCTGCCCAGCCAGTGATGAGCTGGGGAGGGAATTGACCCCGTGTGCACGGCCAAAGAGACAAACACTGATGGGCAGGCTGACCCTTCCAGTCGGAGCAATGTCCCGCTCCCTTTGGGCACAGACATCTCCCGCAGAGCGTCCAAGGAGACGCCTCTCCCAGCGAGCAGCAGGATGGAGCCTCCCTTCAACTCGTCATCACTTGGGCTGAGCACTCGTCACAGGAAAGGGCCGCTACCCACCCCAAAAAGAGACTGACACGGAAACAGAGCCCTGGAGAAGGGAAGAAGTCTGCTCCTATGAGCGCCAGGACAGGGCTGCTGCTCCCCAGGAGGGAGCAGAGCAGTTCCATCACCCCCACAGCCAACACCCTGGCCCAGCAGGGACTGCCACGCTCAGTGTCCCCACACGGCTGACAGGCACCAGCCTCCCTGGGGACAGCCACACTGCTGACCCCCGACATCCCCGGCCCTTCTCCTGCCACCAACCCACTGACACCACCCCCAGAGCGAGCCGGCGCAGCACGCCCTCCCTCACTAGCAAACAGCCACACGTCCCACCCGCTGCAATGCCAAACTGATCGTCTTTATTCAAGCTGGGAAAAGCAGCCTCTGCCCCAGCGACACCGGCTCCATCGCGGGGTGTCTCCAGCCCACGAGCACCCGGCACCCAGCGGGAGCAGCGCTGCCACTGCTGCTGGCACAGACCCTGGGCACGGCAGAGGCAGGGAGGGGAGAGGACATCAGGGCATGGTTCCAGGAGCCAGAAGCGAGGGGGACGTTCTGCTTGGGATGTTCAGGGGCTCACCGCCAGATCCTGTATGAAGAAAGCAGACAAGCATGTCACCTGCTAGAACTTACTTTTCTCTTCCTCCCACTCCCTCCTCTCTCCACTGCAATGACAAGCAAGTCCATGGTGCTAGAGAATCGGGCTCAATGCAGGTGAAGTTGTGTCCCCTTTGCAGACAGTTTGAACCCAATTTCTCTCAGTGTTGGCTGCCCTGACTCCTGCCCTATGCAGATGCAGCCAGGCCAGGATCACATCCTCGATGCTGTGCAAGGACAGTGAGTGCTTCCCTCTTTGCTAGCTTGGGAGAGCCCTCTGCAAAGCCTGCGTGGCTCTCATGGGGCTGAAGGACAGTGGGGACGTGCTGGCTGACCTTCGGCTGCTTCAGCTCCAATCAGGGAAGGTCCAAGCACCTTTCCTTTCCTCCCCTGCCCTCTGCCTTGGAGGATGTTTAGCACTGTGCTGTTAGCTAGTCACAGGTGCTTAAAAACAACAGCAATTGTTTCTGCCATCACAGTAGCATTTCTCATTCCAAAACTCACCTTTTGCAGCAAAAGAAGAACCTTGAACATTTTCCACTGACGACATAGAATAAAGGACACTTCAGAAATAAACATACACCATTTTGGTTTTCACATTTTTTTTTATTTCCGGAAGCCAAGGAGGATCCTGAATAGTGAAGGAGATCATATATGTTACTATGTGATAACTATATCAAACGTGCATGGTTCCAGAGGGGCTGACACTGCCCCTGGATCTCAGTCTCCCACATGCACTGAGCACCAAACCCAACATCTTTAGCTCTCCAGTGAGAGGTTATCTTTTCTGCAGCATCATGTGTGCACGTGGCACAGTCCTAGGGAAAGAGCAGTGTGAGGTCCGGGAAGTGCTGTGTTGGCTCCTCAGCTGCACAGGTGTTCATCAGAGCCAATTCCTCCCAGATGTTCTACATATCTGACAAAGCTGGTCACTTCCCAGGACATGGGGGACCCCACTAATTGGAAACGCACCTGACCCCATCTCCCCTCTTTCTCTCTCACCTGCAGCACCCTGGACCAACAGGAGGAAGAAAGGCAAGAGGAGGTAGAGGACCTTCATGGCTGACGCGTGTCGCAGATCTTCACGGGGCTGCAGAGAGGACACAACAAGAGAAAAAATGATGGAGAAGGAAAAGTGTTGAAACACATGGTGAGTCAACAAGCAGAAGCACCATCTCCAACAAAAAGAGACAATGATTGATAACACTGCAACTTCACAGGTATCGTGGAAGAATTTTGGGCAGCTCGAGCCTGTTGGACAAGCAGGAGTTTCACACATTTCCTTCTTCACAGAACTTTTGATGTTTTCCTCGAAAAAAGGACTGGAGGTTTCATGCCTTGTTATTTCCATTTTGCTCAAAAAACCTATCCTCAGAAACTCAGATTATAAGGAAAGAAAATTTACTTTCACATGTGTTACTCCATCAGTAATTTTACAGGAAATGTTTTTGTCCCCTGAGCAGAATTTTCTAGAGACAGAGGATCAAGGCATTAAATGAGAAATTCTTCCAGCACAACCAGGGCACCAGGATTAACATTAGGGCAGTTGTTGTCTCCCTTCTGCCACTATTGAATCAAATGCCAGAGCAGAGAAGATCTGATTAGCAGGAGAGGATTGTGTGGCCACTTAGTGCCATGCCCATACTCAGACTATCGGAAAGCAAGGATCCAAACACAGGAATTTGGGGGAAATGAGTGTGCCTGGACATGCCACCCTCTATGAAATGTTACCCAGTGCTCTCCATCAGCTCAGCCAGTCCAAAGCTGGCTTCCCAAAACACCCTGCCCCAACAGCTCTGCTTCCCTGCGCTCAGGAAAGTCCTGCCAGCTCGGCTGGGGAGTGCCCATCCCCAATTCTAGACCAAGCCTAGGCTCCCAGGAAAGACACGCCACTGCTCCACAGTTCCTACCCCTGACCCGTGCAGAACCAACACAGGGAGGAGAAAAAGGGAACTAGGCAGATTTTATTCTCTGATCGAAGCATTCTGGTGTCCTAAAGGCATACTTCCAGCACTTTATCATTTTGACCTTTCCAGGAAAGTAAATTTCCACAGAGAGGCTGAAGGGGATGTCCAGCCTGGAAGAGACTTGGCCGTCACCTACCTGGTGAAGGTGTTGGTTCAGAGCGCACCAAGGCAGCAACCGGCTGCTACAGTCCGACCCAAGAGGAGGCACTTGCACCCAGAAGCGTTAGCACCAGGGAGCATCCCTTTGCCCCAAACGCCCTGGTTTTATACCGCTGACAGTGGGTGGCACTTGTTTATTCCCACGGCCACGTCTCCCCTTGGCCAATCAGCAAGTGCCCCATCGGCGTGGGGGCGGTGGGGTTGTACCTCGTCCCTCCCTGCTGCGGGGGGAGAGGTTGAGGTGCCTCCTGGGGCTGTTGCAATCCTCACCGTTATCCTCATGCAACACGACTTGTGACACCCCGCGGCGCAGCGGCCACCCGGCTTGTGGTGCCTTGCTGAAAAATCTTAGGGATGGAGAAAGTAAGCGTTCGGTGTGAACACCAGCACCAGCCCAGTCCCAGAAGAAGAGAAGCCTTCTTTGTCTGTTCCCATCACAAGGAATTATCAACTAGTGTTTGATGTGAAGGAACACACCAAAGCTGGAAAATAATCCCACCTCTAGACACTGCAAGAATCCCTTGTTTAGGACCAGATGGCTGTGCACCTGACGTGGCAAAGGTGAAAAGTAGGACCCTGTCTCTCTAGTCACTCTTCAGATTAAATGAGAGGAACACCAGCGAGTATTTACGATCAGGAAAGAGGGTGATCCAGCGAAGCTGCATCTCCTCCTAAAGCCACCCAAGGTGAAGAAACGGAGGCTGGATGCAGCCATCTCTTGTTTAGCCAAGGCATTCGATGCCGTTCCTGCAATGGGCACAAGTGGCAGTCCTTGGCGGGCAGGAGTTGTGCCATGCAGACATCTTGACAACTGCCTCTCGGGCCATTTGGAAGAGGAATCTGCTCCCCCCACCTCCACGGGGTTACCTGCTGGGGACGGTGGCAGTGGGGCCTGGCCTCTTGGCCTTTCCTCCTTGCGCGCCATTGAGATGTCAAGTGTCGGTGCCAAGAGAAGAAGCACAAAAGACGTGGAAGATGGCTCCTGCATGCTCAGCAGCAGCAGAGGGCCCACCTGACCAGAATTCTGCTCTGGGGTTTTGCTGGGAGACCTTCCTGAAGAGAAGCGGACAAAGTTCCATCTCGTCGTACAGCATCAGTCTGGAGCTGGTTTCCATCGAGCAGGGATGCAGTGTGTGTGTCTGCCCGTGTGTGTGTGTGTGTGTGTTTGTGTGTGGGATTTTGTGTATGTGTGTGTGTCCCCAAGAGGTGCCCAGCAAACCCCAGCACTGAACAGCCCTCACGCAAGGCGAGACGACGCAGGACCGTGGGCTGGATGCCTGGGGAGCCTTCTCAGAGGTGTCACAAGAGGAAAGCGATGCCTCCTTTTCTCTGGTGGGAGGAGAATCAGGAAAAGGGGCATTTGGGCTGAACTTTTTGATGCAGCAGCAACTCCAGCCTGTCCCCTGCACTCTCCACCTCGTGATGCTCCAGGGAGCAGCAAGTAATATAGAAATGGATGAGGTGCATGGAAAAATGGAGGATTTCTCTGATACTACAGTGAAGCTGGCCAGTAGATGATGTGGCTTTCTTATAAATAAAGTAAAAGGAGACAGAAGCCTAACCATTTGGTACAGCTATATATTTTTCCCCCAGTGAGATCATGAGGCATGCATCACTTTTCCTGGTTGCTGTGGCATCTTCCCAGGGGTCCCTTACCACCCATATCTTTGAGCGGAGTCTCCTGCTGCGGATTCTGCAGCTGAGACAAGAGCTGGGACCTTGTAACAGAGCTCTCGCCCTCCAGGGATGAGCTTTGGCCACCATCTCTGTACGTTCAGGCCCACGTCTTTCCCAGTCTGCAGCACTGGGTGCAGCGTCTCACCCACAGAGGAGGGGGAAGAGGGAGGAAGGCAGCTCCTGCTTCCACCCTGGCAGTCATCCTTTGTGGCAGGACAGAGCCAGCAGGCGTGTTGGAGAACCTCTCCCACAGACTGCTGTAGCTCAGTAGTGACCAACCCATCCAAGTGCCATGAACATCACCTTGCTTTCCCCTGGAAATGTTCCCTTGGCTGTTGGGGAACAGGGACAATATGCCGCCCAGGGACACGGGGACAGTCGTGGGTTGTCATTGCAGCGCTGCCCAGCCTGGGAGATGTTGCTGGGGCTGCAGCCACCCAGTTTCCTCCAAGGCCTCCCCCAACACTGCTGGCAGCCCATGTGCCACCTGCAGAGAGGGCAGGGCCCCCTCCTGGGCTCCGGCCAGCCCCGTGCCTGCCCAGCCAGTGATGAGCTGGGGAGGGAATTGCCCCCGTGTGCACGGCCAAAGAGACAAACACTGATGGGCAGGCTGACCCTTCCAGTCGGAGCAATGTCCCGCTCCCTTTGGGCACAGACATCCCCCGCAGAGCGTCCAAGGAGACGCCTCTCCCAGCGAGCAGCAGGATGGAGCCTCCCTTCAACTCATCATCACGTGGGCTGAGCACTCGTCACAGGAAAGGGCCGCTATCCACCCCAAAAAGAGACTGACACAGAAACAGAGCCCTGGAGAAGGGAAGAAGTCTGCTCCTATGAGCGCCAGGACAGGGCTGCTGCTCCCCAGGAGGGAGCAGAGCAGTTCCATCACCCCCACAGCCAACACCCTGGCCCAGCAGGGACTGCCACGCTCGGTGTCCCCACACGGCTGACAGGCACCAGCCTCCCTGGGGACAGCCACACTGCTGACCCCCGACATCCCCGGCCCTTCTCCTGCCACCAACCCACTGCCACCACCCCCAGAGCGAGCCGGCGCAGCACGCCCTCCCTCACTAGCAAACAGCCACACGTCCCACCCGCTGCAATGCCAAACTGATCGTCTTTATTCAAGCTGGGAAAAGCAGCCTCTGCCCCAGCGACACCGGCTCCATCGCGGGGTGTCTCCAGCCCACGAGCACCCGGCACCCAGCGGGAGCAGCGCTGCCACTGCTGCTGGCACAGACCCTGGGCACGGCAGAGGCAGGGAGGGGAGAGGACATCAGGGCATGGTTCCAGGAGCCAGAAGCGAGGGGGACGTTCTGCTTGGGATGTTCAGGGGCTCACCCCCAGATCCTGTATGAAGAAAGCAGACAAGCATGTTACCTGCAAGAACTTACTTTTCTCTTCCTCCCACTCTCTCCTCTCTCCTCTGCAATGACAAGCAAGTCTATGGTGCAAGAGAATCGGGCTCAATGGAGGTGAAGTTGTGTCCCCTTTGCAGACAGTTTGAACCCAATTTCTCTCAGTGTTGGCTGCCCTGACTCCTGCCCTATGCAGATGCAGCCAGGCCAGGATCACATCCTCGATGCTGTGCGAGGACAGTGAGTGCTTCCCTCTTTGCTAGCTTGGGAGAGCCCTCTGCAAAGCCTGGATGGCTCTCATGGGGCTGAAGGACAGTGGGGACGTGCTGGCTGACTTCGGGCTGCTTCAGCTCCAGTCAGGGAAGGTCCAAGCACCTTTCCTTTCCTCCCCTGCCCTCTGCCTTGGAGGATGTTTAGCACTTCCCTGTTAGCTAGTCATGGCTGCTTAAATACAACAGCAACTTTTTCTATCATCACAGTAGAATTTCTAATTCAAAAACTTACTTTTTACAGCAAAAGAAGAACCTCGAACATTTTCCATTAATAACAAAGGGGAAATTACAGTTCAGAAATCCACAGAAGCCATTTTGTCGCTCACATTCTTTCTTATTCCCAGGAGCCAGGGAGGATCCTGCACATTGAGAGAGGCCAAATACGTGAGTATGGGTTAACTGTATCAAATGTGCATGGTTCCAAGGGGCTGACACTGCCCCTGGATCTCAGTCTCCCACACGCACTGAGCACCAAACCCAACATTTTTAGCTCTCCAGTGAGAGGTTATCTTTTCTGCAGCAGCATGTGTACACGTGGCACAGTCCTAGGGAAAGAGCAGTGTGAGGTCCGGGAAGTGCTGTGTTGGCTCCTCAGCTGCACAGGTGTTCATCAGAGCCAATTCCTCCCAAATGTTCTACATATCTCACAAAGCTGGTCACTTCCCAGGACATGGGGGACCCCACTAATTGGGAGCACACCTGACCCCATCTCCCCTCTTTCCATCTCACCTGCAGCACCCTGGACCAACAGGAGGAAGAAAGGGAAGAGGAGGTAGAGGATCTTCATGGCTGACACGTGTCGCAGAGCTTCACGGGGCTGCAGAGAAGACACAACAAGAGAAAAAATGACGGAGAAGGAAAAGTCTTGAAACAAACAGTGAGCCAACAAGCAGACGCACCATCTCCAGCAAAAAGAGACAATGATTGATAACGCTGCAACTTCACAGGTATCCTGGAAGTATTTTGGGCAGCTCGAGACTGTTGAGCAAGCAGGAGTTTCGTACGTTTTCTTCTTCACAGAACTTTTGATGGTTTCCTCAAAACTCAGACTGGAGGATTCATGCCTGGTTGTTTCCATTTTGCTCAAAAAACCTATCTTCAGAAACTCAGATTAAAAAACACCCTGCCCCATCAGCTCTGCTTCCCTGTGCTCAGGAAAGTCCTGCCAGCTTGTCTGGGGAGTGCCCATCCCCAACTCAAGACCAAGCCTAGGCTCCCAGGAAAGACACGCCACTGCTCCACAGTTCCTACCCCTGCCCCGTGCAGCACCGACACAGGGAGAAGAAAAAGGGAACTAGGCAGATTTTATTCTCTGATCGAAGCATTCTGGTGTCCTAAAGGCATACTTCCAGCAGTTTATCATTTTGACCTTTCCAGGAAAGTAAATTTCCACAGAGAGGCTGAAGGGGATGGCCAGCCTGGAAGAGACTTGGCCGTCACCTACCTGGTGAAGGTGTTGGTTCAGAGTGCACCAAGGCAGCAACCGGCTGCTACAGTCCGACCAAAGAGGAGGCACTTGCACCCAGAAGCGTTAGCACCAGGGAGCATCCCTTTGCCCCAAACGCCCTGGTTTTATACCGCTGACAGTGGGTGGCACTTGTTTATTCCCACGGCCACGTCTCCCCTTGGCCAATCAGCAAGTGCCCCATCGGCGTGGGGGCGGTGGGGTTGTACCTCGTCCCTCCCTGCTGCGGGGGGAGAGGCTGAGGTGCCTCCTGGGGCTGTTGCAATCCTCACCGTTATCCTCATGCAACACGACTTGTGACACCCCGCGGCGCAGCGGCCACCCGGCTTGTGGTGCCTTGCTGAAAAATCTTAGGGATGGAGAAAGTAAGCGTTCGGTGTGAACACCAGCACCAGCCCAGTCCCAGAAGAAGAGAAGCCTTCTTTGTCTGTTCCCATCACAAGGAATTATCAACTAGTGTTTGATGTGAAGGAACACACCAAAGCTGGAAAATAATCCCACCTCTAGACACTGCAAGAATCCCTTGTTTAGGACCAGATGGCTGTGCACCTGACGTGGCAAAGGTGAAAAGCAGGACCCTGTCTCTCTAGTCACTCTTCAGATTAAATGAGAGGAACACCAGCGAGTATTTACGATCAGGAAAGAGGGTGATCCAGCAAAGCTGCATCTCCTCCTAAAGCCACCCAAGGTGAAGAAACGGAGGCTGGATGCAGCCATCTCTTGTTTAGCCAAGGCATTCGATGCCGTTCCTGCAATGGGCACAAGTGGCAGTCCTTGGCGGGCAGGAGTTGTGCCATGCAGACATCTTGGCAACTGCCTCTCGGGCCATTTGGAAGAGGAATCTGCTCCCCCCACCTCCACGGGGTTACCTGCTGGGGACGGTGGCAGTGGGGCCTGGCCTCTTGGCCTTTCCTCCTTGCGCGCCATTGAGATGTCAAGTGTCGGTGCCAAGAGAAGAAGCACAAAAGACGTGGAAGATGGCTCCTGCATGCTCAGCAGCCCCAGAGGGCCCACCTGACCAGAATTCTGCTCTGGGGTTTTGCTGGGAGACCTTCTTGAAGAGAAGCAGAGAAAGTTCCATCTCGTCGTATGGCATCAGTCTGGAGCTGGTTTCCATCGAGCAGGGATGCAGTGTGTGTGTCTGCCCGTGTGTGTGTGTTTGTGTGTTTGTGTGTGGGATTTTGTGTGTGTGTGTGTGTGGTTTTGTGTGTGTGTGTGTCCCCAAGAGGTGCCCAGCAAACCCCAGCACTGAACAGCCCTCACGCAAGGCGAGACGACGCAGGACCGTGGGCTGGATGCCTGGGGAGACTTCTCAGAGGTGTCACAAGAGGAAAGCGATGCCTCCTTTTCTCTGGTGGGAGGAGAATCAGGAAAAGGGGCATTTGAGCTGAACTTTTTGATGCAGCAGCAACTCCAGCCTGTCTCCTGCACTCTCCTCCTCGTGATGCTCCAGGGAGCAGAAAGTAATATAGAAATGGATGAGTTGCATGGAAAAATGGAGGATTTCTCTGATACCACAGTGAAGCTGCCCAGTAGATGATGTGTCTTTCTTATAAATAAATTAAAAGAAGACAGAAGCCTAACCATTTGGTACAGCTATTTATTTTTTCCTCCACTGAGATCATGAGGCATGCATCACTTTTCCTGGTTGCTGTGGCATCTTCCGAGGGGTCCCTTACCACCCATATCTTTGAGCGGAGTCTCCTGCTGCGGATTCTGCAGCTGAAACAAGAGCTGGGACCTTGTAACAGAGCTCTCGCCCTCCAGGGATGAGCTTTTGCCACCATCTCTGTACGTTCAGGCCCACGTCTTTCCCGGTCTGCAGCACTGGGCGCAGGGTCTCACCCACAGAGGAGGGGGAAGAGGGAGGAAGGCAGCTCCTGCTTCCACCCTGGCAGTCGTCCTTTGTGGCAGGACAGAGCCAGCAGGCGTGTTGGAGAGCCTCTCCCGCAGACTGCTGTAGCTCAGTGGTGACCAACCCATCCAAGTGCCATGAACATCACCTTGCTTTCCCCTGGAAATGTTCCCTTGGCTGTTGGGGAACAGGGACAATATGCAGCCCAGGGACACGGGAACAACTGTGGGTTGTCATTGCAGCGCTGCCCAGCCTGGGAGATGTTGCTGGGGCTGCAGCCACCCAGCGTCCTCCAAGGCCTCCCCCAACACTGCTGGCAGCCCATGTGCCACCTGCAGAGAGGGCAGGGGCCCCTCCTGGGCTCCGGCCAGCCCCGTGCCTGCCCAGCCAGTGATGAGCTGGGGAGGGAATTGCCCCCGTGTGCACGGCCAAAGAGACAAACACTGATGGGCAGGCTGACCCTTCCAGTCGGAGCAATGTCCCGCTCCCTTTGGGCACAGACATCTCCCGCAGAGCGTCCAAGGAGACGCCTCTCCCAGCGAGCAGCAGGATGGAGCCTCCCTTCAACTCATCATCACGTTGGCTGAGCACTCGTCACAGGAAAGGGCCGCTATCCACCCCAAAAAGAGACTGACACGGAAACAGAGCCCTGGAGAAGGGAAGAAGTCTGCTCCTATGAGCGCCAGGACAGGGCTGCTGCTCCCCGGGAGGGAGCAGGGCAGCTCCATCACCCCCACAGCCAACACCCTGGCCCAGCAGGGACTGCCACGCTCGGTGTCCCCACACGGCTGACAGGCACCAGCCTCCCTGGGGACAGCCACACTGCTGACCCCCGACATCCCCGGCCCTTCTCCTGCCACCAACCCACTGACACCACCCCCAGAGCGAGCCGGCGCAGCACGCCCTCCCTCACTAGCAAACAGCCACACGTCCCACCCGCTGCAATGCCAAACTGCTCATCTTTATTCAAGCTGGGAAAAGCAGCCTCTGCCCCAGCGACACCGGCTCCATCGCGGGGTGTCTCCAGCCCACGAGCACCCGGCACCCAGCGGGAGCAGCGCTGCCACTGCTGCTGGCACAGACCCTGGGCACGGCAGAGGCAGGGAGGGGAGAGGACATCAGGGCATGGTTCCAGGAGCCAGAAGCGAGGGGGATGTTCTGCTTGGAATGTTCAGGGGCTCACCCCCAGATCCTGTATGAAGAAAGCAGACAAGCATGTCACCTGCTGGAACTTACTTTTCTCTTCTTCCCACTCCCTCCTCTCTCCACTGCAATGACAAGCAAGTCTATGGTGCAAGAGAATCGAGCTCAATGCAGGTGAAGTTGTGTCCCCTTTGCAGACAGTTTGAACCCAATTTCTCTCAGTGTTGGCTGCCCTGACTCCTGCCCTATGCAAATGCAGCCAGGCCAGGATCACATCCTCGATGCTGTGCGAGGACAGTGAGTGCTTCCCTCTTTGCTAGCTTGGGAGAGCCCTCTGCAAAGCCTGGATGGCTCTCATGGGGCTGAAGGACAGTGGGGACGTGCTGGCTGACCTTGGGCTGCTTCAGCTCCTGTCAGGGAAGGTCCAAGCACCTTTCCTTTCCTCCCCTGCCCTCTGCCTTGGAGGATATTTAGCACTGTGCTGTTAGCTAGTCACAGGTGCTTAAAAACAACAGCAATTGTTTCTGCCATCACAGTAGCATTTCTCATTCCAAAACTCACCTTTTGCAGCAAAAGAAGAACCTTGAACATTTTCCACTGACGACATAGAATAAAGGACACTTCAGAAATAAACATACACCATTTTGGTTTTCACATTTTTTTTTATTTCCAGAAGCCAGGGAGGATCCTGAATAGTGAAGGAGATCATATATGTTACTATGTGATAACTATATCAAACGTGCATGGTTCCAGAGGGGCTGACACTGCCCCTGGATCTCAGTCTCCCACATGCACTGAGCACCAAACCCAACATCTTTAGCTCTCCAGTGAGAGGTTATCTTTTCTGCAGCAGCATGTGTGCACGTGGCACAGTCCTAGGGAAAGAGCAGTGTGAGGTCCGGGAAGTGCTGTGTTGGCTCCTCAGCTGCACAGGTGTTCATCAGAGCCAATTCCTCCCAAATGTTCTACATATCTGACAAAGCTGGTCACTTCCCAGGACATGGGGGACCCCACTAATTGGGAGCACACCTGACCCCATCTCCCCTCTTTCTCTCTCACCTGCAGCACCCTGGACCAACAGGAGGAAGAAAGGCAAGAGGAGGTAGAGGATCTTCATGGCTGACACGTGTCGCAGATCTTCACGGGGCTGCAGAGAGGACACAACAAGAGAAAAAATGATGGAGAAGGAAAAGTGTTGAAACACATGGTGAGTCAACAAGCAGAAGCACCATCTCCAACAAAAAGAGACAATGATTGATAACACTGCAACTTCACAGGTATCGTGGAAGAATTTTGGGCAGCTCGAGCCTGTTGGACAAGCAGGAGTTTCACACATTTCCTTCTTCACAGAACT